ATCCAAACCATTCTATGATTCTATGATCTGTGTGACAATCTCCATCTAGTTTGTCCATCTTTCTATCTCTTTTCTCCTCCACTCCATGGAAAATGTCATGAATTCCTAAAGTATGAGAAAGAGTTGATGGGACAAGAAGATTGTCTTAATTAATTGCTCGTGAATGCCATTAATTAACATTCTCCATGATGGAGTCGTTATTTAAAAGGGTCAAACTCATCTTGGGAACTCACCAAGAGAGTGGATGCCATGAATTTACCATTCTTCATGATGGAGTCGTTATTTAAAAGGGTCAAACTCATTTTGGGGTCTCACCACAGCAGGTGCACGAGGAGAACATGAGTATGGAAGAAAAATCAAATCATCTACGGGCTTGATTTCACCTTTAAAATCAAATAAATCACATTCGGTGACACCACTTGAGTCCTGTTTGTGGTCATGAAAGACCTGTTGATGCCGGATGAGTTGAAAATGGATTTACTAGATGTTCCTCTTCAGGGTTTGGACACCAATGGAATCCATTTGTGTTGTCACCTCCCTCCTGGGCTGTCAGGAATGAATTTGAATGTCAAGTCCCTTCATTACATTGTTTTCTTCTTTTCTTCTCTTTCTAGTCCTCTTCCAAATACTCCTGCTAACAGGTCTCCTAAATGCAAAGAGGTTTCCATGTTTCCCTGAATATTGCCTTCATGACAAAGACTATGAGGAGCTGCTGAAGATCATCAAAGATGGGTTAGAACCTGCAACTCATCCAGCAAACGTGGTCATCATTGGTGCAGGAATAAGTGGGTTGACAGCAGCAAAGTTGCTCCGAGATGCTGGCCACACGGTAAGTGGTTGTATGAGAACCATGAGTACCAAATGGTGACATTCATTGCTGGTAGATCAACCATGAGGTCGAGGTCTTCATGAGGTTCATGAGGTCTTCAAATCCTACCTTAAAGACAGCAGGTAGGTCTAAGGGTTTCAAAACTGCATTGACCATCTCAAGGTGCTGGATGAAATTCAAACCCATGAGTTTCAAAGAAGGTTTCAAAGGCATGGAGGGACAAGTTGGTGCCTTCTTCTGACTGTTTTCAAAACTCTGGTTTATCCTTCCAGCACAAGAACCATCTGAACCAACACTAAGATCTTCTCAGCAGAAAGTAGGTGTCCAAACGTGGCACACAAGTTAGGAACTGAGAAACTGCCTTGTAGATAGAGGAATCTTGGTCAATACAGAGAGGGATTTGGATCTAAAGATGGTTCATTTGACATCTGGAGGTGACCTGTCCCACCCCTTGGGCCAAAGTGCCTGTGAACCTGTTTTGTAGGTGATAGTCATTACCTGAACATCTCCAAACCCCACCTTGTCCCTGTTTTTAGGTTACCATTCTAGAAATGAGCAATCAGGTTGGTGGACGGATCAAGACGTACCGACCAGAAGGACAAGACTGGTACGTGGAGCTGGGAGCCATGCGCCTACCAGTTAAGCACAGGTAAGACAGTGTCCTACTTCATGGCCATGATCAGATGAGGAATCAGCCTGTTTTGAGGAGCAAGGCTGTAGTCTGAGATGGGTCTGAGGACCTGGATGTGGGTCTAGCACAGAAGAAGGGAACTGCTTGCCCAATCTCTCCCCCAGAGCTTAGTATTGGCCTTAAAGGGACCAAAAAACCCCCCACACCATCATCTCCTTTTGAGTTGGGAGAATGAAAGAAGATCTCTCATCTCAGTATCATGTCCATGCATGGTCAGACCTCTCTTTTTGGAATTCACAACATGAAGATGAATTTCTGTTGGGTCTGGTGGAGAAGGCATCCAACCTGGGTTCTCTGAGAGGGTGGAATCAAACAAAGCTCAGTCAGAAGCCAAAATGAGATGGGAAGAGGTTGTAGGTGAGTCACCAACCACACCACATGCCAAGGAGAAGGATCAGAGCCGTAGGGAAACCTCTGCTTCCTACTTCAGCAGAACATTGCTCTTCTTCCTGATGACATCCTTGTGCAACCAGTAGCTGGAGAAAGCCCAAGCTGAAGGACTCCTTTCTCCATAGCCCCATAGGAGTTGAGAACAGGCAGGAGAACTTCAAGCAGCAAAAACTAGAGATGGCAGCACCTTAAATAGCCACAACCTCCACTGACAAGCCAAAATGAGATGTGGCTTCACCCAACATAGTCAATGAGAAATGGGCCTTTTATGCTTCTAATGTTTTGGTGGCAGTTCTTCTGGGTTTGGTTGTTGGCAAGAACTCATCCTCATGTACTCACCTCCTTTTTTTTTTTAATTAATTTTTAATTGTTTTTAAGGCTTGTCCATGAATTCATTAAACAGTTTGACCTGAAGCTCAACCCATTCAACCAAAGAGATGACAACACCTGGTACTTCATGAACGGTACACGGATAAGAACAAAGGAAGTGGACAGAAACCCCAACATCTTAAACTACACGGTGAAACCATCAGAAAGAGGCAAAAGCGCTGTCCAACTCTACAGAGAAGCACTAAACAAGGTACCTGTCCCACCTTCCAACAACGTTGCTCACCCAAGAGACACTGAATTTATTTCCTTGGAGCTGTGGTGGACCTTCATCAGCATGATGGGTTGAATCATCACAGAATGTTAGGGATTGGAAGGGACCTCAAAAGATCATCTAGTCCAATGCCCCTGCTGGAGCAGGAATTTAAGGTTGAGAACAACTCAATGATGAGTTGAGGAAGAGTAAGATCCTTTTAGAAGAAAAAGCAGAAAAGCTCATTCTGAAATGAGGGCAGATGGTTGCAAAACCTTCTTAATCCACGAGATTTTCTCTGGAACAGATTCACCAAGACTTGGATGAAACAGGAAATGTCCCACCAAGGCACAACTTCCCCAAAACTTAAAGTCTCCACAAACTCTAGCTCAGCTCCAAGGCTTACCAAACCTCCAAGACTGAATCCCTCAGATGAATCCAAACAAAATTTGGGGGGATACTTTGAGAAATGCACTTTTTTTTCCCTCATTAATAGATCAACTTTTCTTCTCTAGGCTTTCAAGAACTTCCAGACTACAGACTGCAAGAAATATCTAGCTAAACATGACTCCTTCTCCACCAAGGTAAAAGGTTGGGGCTTGAGAATAAATTTGATCCCCTCTTGCTGATGATTAACCTGCCATCCTTGCTTTGAGAAGGGATCTGAATGCCTCTAGACCTTTCTTCTGTAGACACTTGCTAATCAATGGTGTCTTCTGCTAAAGAAGTTGAGGAAGGAGAAGGAACGAAGCAGCAGGGCATGACTTTTGGCTCAGGAAATTAAGGAGATTCATGGACTGAGACGATAACCTCAGGTGATGTCTTCTTCTTGGCTTTTCTAGGAGTATTTGATTAAAGTAGGACATCTAAGTCGAGGAGCGGTTGAGATGATCGGTGACTTGTTGAACGAGGATTCTGGATTTTATCTGTCCTTCCTGGCCTCAATGTGGGAGTTTGATATCTTCTCTAATGAGAGGTAAGATGATGTCTCTCATGGCATTTTGTGCTGGTCCACAGCAAACCACCAGAAGAAGTAATTTCAGTGCTGTTAGATGTCTGAATGGGAATGACTCTTGACTCAAAAGGCCACCAAGCTCTGTCCACAGCAAACCACCAGAAGAAGTAATTTCAGTGCTGTTAGATGTCTGAATGGGAATGACTCTTGACTCAAAAGGCCACCAAGCTCTGTCCACAGCAAACCACCAGAAGAAGTAATTTCAGTGCTGTTAGATGTCTGAATGGGAATGACTCTTGACTCAAAAGACCACCAAGCTCTGGTGGGATCTCTAGAAGAAATCAGGTTGTACAATTCCTGAACCCCAATTGTCTTTCCTTCATCTCCTCCTTCTTCTTCCTTTCAGTTTTGATGAAATCACAGGAGGATTTGACCAACTACCTAAAGCTTTCCACAAAACATTGCCCGACGTCATCCAGTTCAGTTCCACAGTGGAGAAAATCATGACCAAAGGAAATAAAGTCCACGTGTTTTACCGCTCTCCAGACACTCTGGCCCCAACCATAGTAACTGCAGATTATGTCCTTGTCACATCCAGTGCCAAAGCCACCAGGCACATCCAATTCCTGCCACCACTCTCTCTTCCAAAGACCCACGCCCTACGTTCCATCCATTATGGAAGTGCCTCCAAAATAGCTTTGGCTTGTTCTGAGAAGTTCTGGGAGAAGGATAGTATCCGAGGAGGACAGTCCATCACCGACCGCCCTTCCAGGTTTATCTACTACCCCAACCACAACTTCTCCAGTGGTGTGGGTGTAATCCTGGCTTCCTACACCTGGAATGAAGATGCTGAGTTTTTCTTACCTCTTACAGATGAAGAGTGCCTGGATGTGGTCCTCCAAGACCTGGCAGATATCCACCAAGTTAGCAAGGAGTATCTACAGTTGACCTGTGACCAGTATGTGATCAAGAAATGGCAACTGGACAAACATTCCCTGGGGGCATATGCTGCTTTCACCCCTTACCAGTTCGTTGACTACTCACAAGCTCTCTTCCAACATGAAGGTAGGATACATTTTGCTGGAGAACACACAGCTCAACCTCACGCCTGGATTGACACCTCCATAAAATCAGCCGTCAGGGCTGCCAGCAACATCCACCACGACAGCGGCCAAGCTCAGATGTTGAATGAGGAGGAACAGGAGCAAATGGGGAGTTCCTTGCAGAAGGAAGATCTCTGAGGAAGGACTTCTAGGTTGAACTTCTTGAATGTCACCAACACGGTTTGAAGGCACTTCTGATGGTGTCGATCTGCTTCTTTCTGAGGTGTTAAAGGACAAAACTCAAAGAGGACTGACTGGCATCAGACAGGACTACTAGTTAGCTGGTTAAACACTTAACGAGGGTAAGAGGGAGTGTTCAACTAAAAATTAACATCTAAGGAGGTTTCATGACTCATTATCTTGGCTCAGACACGCAGCAGTAATTCCTAATTTATTTATGTACAAAGTACTTCAAGAAACGATTCAGGTGGAATAAAAGTGGTTATTTCTCCAGTTCTTTGTGTCTGAGATGCCTCCATCTCACTTTAACCACTTAGAAACTCATCAGCCATCTGGTTGGGTCTTCTTCTCCTTCCAGAATTTGGGAGATAACTCAATTGGTTTTGAGTCATCATCTCTGTAGCCCAACACAACCATTCCTGATCCCCATGGGTACCAGTCAGGATGTGATCCTGATCTCCAACCTCCACTGTTTCTTCTACCCGTCTCCCATCTAGTTGAGCTCAAATCATGGCCAACATCAAGTTCTTGAGATAAATTGAATATCCTGAATATAAAAAAGCAAATCCAGAAGCAATAAAGCTTGTGGACAGAGGTGTTAATGGTTTTTACTGGAGTTTCTCCACTAATTTTTGTGTTAAATTTCAAAGTCTTGGAAATTCAATCTGGGCTGTAGATGGTTTTGAGGGGGTTTTTTGGCAATTAAAGCTCATTAGCAGCGACACTCTGCAGGTGTCACTGATGATTTTGTGGTGAAGGTGGAGGAAAAAAGGAAAAGGAAAAGAGAAAGAAAAAGAGAGAATAAAAATATTATTTGAAAAAATAAAATTAAAAAAAATAAAGAGGGAAAATAAAGAGGGAAAAGAATTAAAAAGGAAAAGAATTAAAAAGGAAAAGAATTAAAAAGGAAAAATAAAACTGGGAAAAATAAAAAGAAAAAATAAAAAAAGGATAAATAAAGGGGGGAAAATAATAAAGGGGGGAAAATAATAAAGGGGGGAAAATAATAAAGGGAAAAAAAAGAAGGAAAAGAATTAAAAAGGGAAAATAAAGGAGGGAAAATAAAGGAGGGAAAATAAAGGAGGGAAAATAAAGAGGAAATAAAAAGGGAAAATATAAAGGGAAAATAAAGAAGGAAAAGAATTAAAAAGGAAAAGAATTAAAAAGGGAAAAATAAAACCGGGAAAAATAAAACCGGGAAAAATAAAGGAGGGAAAAATAAAAATAAAAAAGGAAAAATAAAAAAGGAAGAAGAAAAAAGAGGAAAAAAGAAAGAAAAGACCCTCCCGCGTCCCTGGGTGGGCTCGAACCACCAACCTTTCGGTTAACAGCCGAACGCGCTAACCGATTGCGCCACAGAGACACGTTAAAACGGCTGAAAATACAGAAAAATGATGCCAAGATCAAATTTCATTAATTTCTCCCAAAGCAACCAATATTGCCTTTTTTAAAATTAAAAAAAATTGCTTAAAAATAAGTTACAAATTACAACAATAATTTCTAATAAATTCAAATAAGTTCTAATAAATGATAAATAATATTTTTGTTTTAAAAGAAAAAAAAATTTTTTAAAATTCCTTAAAATCAAAAAATAAAAATTTGCTGAAAAGCAAATTATTCTTTCACCTTAAAACAAAATTCGAAGCCAAGTGATGCCCAACGAATTTATTACCAGCGATGTTTGAGTTTCTCATCATCTGGAGATGATTTCAGAAGCAAATCCTGGAAATTATGATAGAAAAGTATAAAAATCTCCCCCAAAAAGGATGATGATAATTAAAAAGTGTTGAAATCTCTCTAAAAATGGGCTCGTCCGGGATTTGAACCCGGGACCTCTCGCACCCAAAGCGAGAATCATACCCCTAGACCAACGAGCCAGATAACAATTGGCTTCTTCATCCTCATCTTCATCCTCTTCTTCCTCACCTTCCCCTCCCTACATCATCCTCCTGCAACTTCCTACTGAGATGAGGAGTTCAAGGATCTTCTGTCCTCCACAGACTGGAGAAAAAAACCCCCAAATCACATTTTTCTCACCTATTTTCAACCAATTTTGCTACTTTCATAAACCACATCTCCAAATTTTCACAGAAATGGGTTGGAAACCAGGAAAAAAATCCCATTCTCCATCCACAGCTCAACATCCATCCCAGGAAAACCCCAAACACGTCATTTTTTTCCCCACCACCTTCTTGCCAGAAGAGAATCTACATGGCAAAGTAGAGAAAAATCCCATTTTTCATCAAGAAACACCCCAATTTTCCCAAATTCTAGAGAAAAAACCAACCCCCACCACCCCCCAGAGGCTCCAGTGAGATTCGAACTCACGACCCCTGGTTTACAAGACCAGTGCTCTCACCCCTGAGCTATGGAGCCACAGCAAAGTCCTCTTTTTTGCTCTTTTCGCCCCAAAAAATCCAGCACTGATGGTGTTTGCAGGTGATGAATCCAAGCGTGGTATCAAAAAGTGATGTATTTAAGGGAAAAATGGGATGGGGATTGGGATGAGAAGATGAGGATGAGGATGGGAAGAAGGGGATGAAGATGGGGATGGAGATTGGGGTGAAGATGAGGATGGGAAGAAGGGGATGAAGATGGGGATGGAGATTGGGATGAGAATGGAATGAAGATGGGGATGGAGATTGGGATCAGAATGGGATGAAGATGAGGATGAGGATGGGAAGAATGGGATGAAAATGGGGATGGAGATAGGGATGAGAATGGGATGAAGATGGGGATGGAGATTGGGATCAGAATGGGATGAAGATGAGGATGAGGATGGGAAGAATGGGATGAGGATGGGGATGGAGATGGGGATCAGAATGGGGATGAAGATGGGGATGGAGATGGGGATCAGAATGGGATGAAGATGAGGATGGGAAGGATGGGATGAAGATGGGGATGGAGAATGGGATGAAGATGGGGATGAGAATGGGATGAAGATGAGGATGAGGATGGGAAGAATGGGATGGTGATGGGGATGAGAATGGGATGGTGATGGGGATGAGAATGGGATGGTGATGGGGATGAGAATGGGATGGTGATGGGGATGAGAATGGGATGGTGATGGGGATGAGATGAGGATGGGAAGAAGGGGATGAAGATGGGGATGGAGATTGGGGTGAAGATGAGGATGAGGATGGGAAGAATGGGATGAAGATGGGGATGGAGATTGGGATGAGAATGGGATGAAGATGGAGATGGGAATGGGGATGAGGATGGGAAAGGGATGAAGATGGTGGTGGGATGGAGTTTGGGATCAGAATAGGATGAAGATGGGGATGAGGATGGGATGAAGACTGGGATAAGAATGGAGACGGGATGGGATAGAGATGGAGTTGAGGATGAAGATGAGGAAGGAGCCAGACAGCAGAGCAAGGTGTCACAGGGCGCACCAGCAGGGTAGCGTGGCCGAGCGGTCTAAGGCGCTGGATTAAGGCTCCAGTCTCTTCGGGGGCGTGGGTTCGAATCCCACCGCTGCCAGGAATGCTTTTTCCTATCCAGCTTTTCCTCCTCTTTTTTTTCTTTTCCTCTCCAGAAATGTTTTATCTCCTTTTTTTCCCCCCCCAGAAAATTTTCCCTCCCTTTTTTCTCCCCAGAAATATTTCCCCTCTTTATTTTTTTCTCCCCAGAAATATTTTTCCTCTTTTTTTCCTCCCCAGATAATTTTCCCTCTTATTTTTTCTCCCCAGAAAATTTTCCCTCTTATTTTTTCTCCCCAGAAATATTTCTCCTCTTTTTTTTCCTCCCCAGAAATATTTTTCCTCCTTTTTTTTCCTCCCCAGAAATATTTTTCCTCTTTATTTTTTTCTCCCCAAAATATTTTCCCTCCTTTTTTTTTCTCCCCAGAAAATTTCCCCTCCTTTTTTTCTCTCCATTTCTCTCTCCATCTTCCCTTTTCCTCCCATTATTTCCCTTTTCCTTTTCCCTCCTCCCTTCTTCTCCTTCTCCTCAAGCAATCCAGGAACATTTTAAATCCATTTAAACATTTATAATCCATTTAAACATTTAAAATTCATTCCCCACCTGCCTTCCTTCCTTATTTATAATCCATTATCCTTAAAAAAAAATGCATTTTGGTAAAAAAATTATTTGTTTATGTTTTTTTTCACTAATCAAAGAATTTTTCGAAGGAAAAGAAGAAAAAGAAAAACTAATGAAAGTGTTTCTGCCCGGTTTCGAACCGGGGACCTTTCGCGTGTTAGGCGAACGTGATAACCACTACACTACAGAAACCACCATGTGGGGTATAGTCTCGCTATAACGTCCTCTAATTAAGTTGAATATTAAGTCGAATAACTTAATATTTACAGATTTTTAATAATAAAAGAGTAAACTTTAATAATAATTAAAAT